GTTGAGTCGATTTAGTCTATATACATATATGCGAACTAGTCCCTCAGTTTTTGAGATATCGATCTGAAATTTTGCACCCGTCCTTTTCTCATCAAGAAGCTGCTCATTTGTCGGAACGGTCACTATAGATATAGCTACCACACAAACTGAACGATCGGAATAAAGTGCTTGATTTGGCACGGGTTATTGGCTAAGACATCTGTGCAATCTCCAAAGAAATTGTTCAGATCGAGTGATTATAGCATATAGCTGCCATACTGGAAAGGAATTTTTTGTATTTTTGAAGGGTATTAAAGCAACCGAAGTTAACGCTTTTTTTGGTTTATTATAATTAAGTTGTGATGATTCAGATATGATATTTTTATTACAACTAATCTAATAAGAAGATAGGGTTCTGAATTTGACGAATAGATAGTAGCGAGAACACTGATATCGAATTGTTATATCTTGTAGCTACCATGCAACAGATTTTTCAAAAATGAGGTTTTGCCTCCTCTAGTTAAAGAGTTAAGATTCTGAAATTTTATGAACATTTTCTTTTTAATGCATACTTAGCATCTGCTAAAAATAAATTATTTCGATGGATTATTTATTATAGCTGTTATACAACCCATTGTTCAAAAAGGATATTTTGTGTTACAACTTCTCTAACTAAGCAGATAAGGTTCTGAATTTTTGTGAAATACTTACTTTTGATGAACAGATAGCAACTAGTGCAAACCATCAATATCGAATGATTTTGTCTTAAAGCTTTCATACAATCGATTGTTCAAGAACGATATTTTGTAGTAAAACTTTTCTAAATAAGAACATAAAATTATGGAACTTTGTGAATAGTTTACTTTTAATGCATACTTAGTATCCACTGAAAATCAGTTATATCGAATGATTATATCTTATAGCTGTCATACAAACAATTTTTAAAATATGAGTTTTTGATATACTTTTACTATTTATGATCAAAAAATATTATACTTGTATATATTAATAATCGGATGACTAAAGCATCCGCTGCTGATTATTCAGATATGGCTATATATGTTGCAATCTAACTAATCTACCTAGCGTTTACTATGTTTATAAACTTATCATTACCCAAAAATAAAGTTATTACTATTAGAATCGAAATTGATTTCATTGTGCTTTAAATTTGACATAGAAGCACTGCACTGAACAAAAATGTATGAGTAAGTTCACTGAACTGCTCAAAAAATACGTAACTACTTTCAAGCTTAATAACAATTACACGACACGATACAACACAAATTAATATGCTTTTCAAATGCAATTTGCATTGGTTTACTTGCGTTTTTATTGGTTTACTTTTTACCAACGCATTACAAGAATACAAAGATAAGTACAACTACAAATAATCTACTTGAAAAAACGCAGATATTTACCTAGAAATGTAACATTCTAGTAATGTGTTTATATGTGTATGTATGTGTTTGTGTATTGTAGTAATTCCAAATTTTAACTGTTAAACGTGAGGAACACATTAAAAACATACATATGTATATTACACTAGTTACAAATCTACAATACATAGATACAAAGTACATTATGCTAGTATATATGTACGTGAGGCGTCTCATTAAAAAGTAATTAAATACTCATAGAAGCAACGAATACTTCTCTGAGTAGAGTTGTGCAGTTCGCAAAGTAGCGATAAGCAACCGCAGACAGACAGATTGACAGACATACTAAGCGCGTACATAACAGGCCTGACAATGTCGGTGCGAGACACACTTACGGCATAACCACTCATACCTAGACACACATATATGAGTACAAAAGCGAGTATTTGCAATCAACAGCTGCTAACGTGTTGAAAGTCACTTAGAAATTGCTACAATGTACATATGTATCTATGTATGGCTACGCAGGTTTGTAGTAAACTAGTTTGGGAATGTCAGGAGGCACGTGTGGCGCCCTAGGTCACTTACCGATGACGGCGGTGGCAGAGCAAAGCTAAAAATAGATCAGAACTGTAGGTATGAATTAAAAATAATTGTGGTCGGCGATAAAATACCATTGATGATGATATATAGATATGAGTATGTACATATGTATAATTATAAGAAAATTACGGTAAAACTGGTGAGAAGTCAGGAAAGTTTGCTAGATATCTAGAAGACAATGAAGAATTAAAACACTCACTGGAAACAGTTCATACTCTATCTCATCAAATTTGACCGGACTGGTCCAAACTTTTTTTTTGCTCGTGTGAAGTTTGACCTCACACGCGTAGGTATGCCTGGACTCAAATTTGAAAATCGAGTTTGCTTGAAACTTTGTGTTTCTAATGAAACCATGGCTACGGAATTATTGAAAATGTTACAGAAGAGCTTTGGGCAGTCTACTTCATGACAAACACAAATATTTGAGTGGCACAAAGTATTCAGTGAATGTCGTGAAGTCATCGAAAGCTTGCCTCATACGAGTCGTCCATCCACTTATGTTAATAACAATATGCTAATATGGAAAAACTAAAAGAAAGAGTGCATGAAAATCAGCGTGTTGGCATCAGAGAGCTAGCAGAGAACCTCAATATCTCTTATAAATCGATTAAACACATTTTGGTTATTGTTTTGGGTGAGAAGCCTTTCAATGCCAGGCTCGTTCAAAAGACCTGCATATTTGGAAAAACGACCATAAAACTGGCGATGAAGCATGGGTTGATGAATATAACTTCAAAAATGTGCTCAAATCTAAAAAAAAACTGAAATTAGCTGAAGGCATTGAAGGCCATCCCAGCCCAAGCTTCTAACAAGTATATGGAAAATTGGATTAAGCGTTGACATGCTTGTATTGGCTCAGGAGCCTAGTTTGAAAGCGATAATATAAACTGACCGATCCTCTTGACGTGGTAGTTGCATTATAAAAATATATATTTTTTTTAACTTCCCGCTAAGAAAATTGAAAATTTTCTAAAAATCGGGAAGTTATTGGTTTCACCCCATTTTGCAAAAATCAAGTTCTCAACAGATCTCGGCGTTCTGAGGTTCGAGGAAGCTTTCCCGAACATTTCTACGATGATGTCCGTATGTATGCATGTATGTATGGAAGTATGTGTGTGTGTGTGGATGTATGTAAACCTCTTATAACTTTTAAACGGCTCAACCGATTTGAATAAACTAAACGGCATTACAAAGGGTTTCATTGCACTTGAATTTCGTTGGACCCAATCGGGCCAGTAGATTTCGAGAAATCTCAAAAATAAAAATTTTGAAAAATCGTTTTTTTTCGAATTTTTTCCAAACGACTTGGCCGATCGACACCAAAAACTAATCTTGAGAAAACACATCCGCAAACCGGGTCAAAATCAGGTGATTTACTTGCGAGATATCGAAAACGAAAGAAATCACCAAAATTGATTAGTCTTTGAGAAATTTGGGAAATAGTGTTATATTAAACTCCCATTAAACACAAGCAGTGAAAAATTTGAACGTTAACGTATGAAATTAGCGGGAAGTTGCAGGGTTGGCCCTTGAGGCCAACCGTTTTCCACATTTTTTTTATTCAAACACATGTTTAATGTAGCCTAATTCACTGAAAATTGCGACATATAATAGGTGAGCAACACAATTTTATTCAAAAAGAATGGAAATGATAAAAGAGCAAACAAAGTAATATTATGAATAATTAAAAGAATCAATCACTGTCTGGTTCGATTATTTGAAAATCAGTTGATGAAGTGGACGGTGTTTCCGGAATTGTTGAAGACGTCTTTGGTCTGACATATTTCTCTTGTTAACTGATTTTTCGAAGAAGCTCAGGATGCGATTTTAAGTGAGTGAAAAATTCCAAACAAGAAAATTTCAAATTATTTTTCACAAATAAAATCGACGCGCCAAAATCTTTTACAAAATTTAATACATTCAAACCGAATGTACAATGTACCTTCTGACCAGAAAGTTTTCGGAAATTGTAAATAAAACGAAACATTTTTAGTCTTCATCAATAATTAGCGATACACATATGCCACCTCTATTTCCAACCTCAATCGAGTCGAAACGGGTCCCACGGAGTGGTCGCTTGAGTTTTGGAAACAAAAATAAGTCGCATTGAGCCAAATCCGATGAATACGGTGGTTGTTCGATGGTATTGAACGAGTTTTTGGTCTTAAAATCGTTTTCAACTACAGATTGGTGCGATTCTCATGCCCAAATTATCGGTCAAAATCAAACGAGCTGCTTCAAGGCCAATATTTAGCTTACGTGCTATCCCTCAAACACTCGCATGCCGATTTTCGAGTACGATTTTCTTCACTTGTTTGATGTTATCGTCAGTGGTAGACGTCGAGAGATGACCGGAACGAGACTTTGTACCAGTCGAAGATTTGGGTTTTCGATATAGGTTCACCATAAGCATTTTATTACATTCGTAACGATTTCGGTTTTCCGGAATTTGGTTCCAAACAGAAAATTTGATGAAAATTCTTTGTTCAATATTTTTTTCCATTGTAAAAATCGCGAAACTCTACTGAGGTCGACTGATTTCAACTGCTGCTGCAAACAAACTAGTTGACAGATCGCGCTCAATTTTGGCATAGTAATTAAAGGCTGTGCTACCAACTTAACAAAAAACAAGTGCTGAAAAATATTCAGTGTGGGCAGTTTAAATGACAGTTTCCGGAAACTTTCTGGTCATAGAACATACAGGGTGGGCCTTCTACATTGTTGTATTTTGTTCCGATTATTCAGAAAATTTTTATTTTCTTTCATTTTTAAGCCCGGGACGGCCGGGACGCTTAACTCGGAATCCGGGACTGGCCTGACCAAACCGGGACGTATGGTTAGCTAATTCTAGACTGACCCTTAAAGAATGGGTGGTCCAATGCGTATACGTAATTTTAATTATTTGTAGAATACGAATATAAGCAATTAAACTGTTCACTCCCTGAAGAGTGGCATATCTTCCTTTCAGTCAAAACTTCCAGAAGGTTGCAGCTGTCACTACTTAAGTTGCAAATATTTAAAAAATAATAATGTTATTACCTTCTTAAATAATATCAACTTCCAACTCCCAATTTGTGGGTTAAAAATTCAAAGTACAATAGATAATAATAGAGACCTTCAAGTGAACATAATTATTTCTGTTAATTTGCATGACTGAGGAAGCGCTGAGCCATAAGCTAATAGCTCGTTAATTTTTTGCTGAATTTTAGTTTCAAATCTAAAAATAAAAGTAAAATAGCATAAAATAGATAAAAGTATAAAAAAGTAGACAGCAAAAAGCAATATATATATACTTAAACATATATGTATATTATATCTAAAAGCATATAAATAACAGCTAAATTTATGTTCGGTATGTATGTTATGTAAACTGCAAACGTTTGCATGGACAACCCATTTGGCCTCTTAGTGGTCTTGCGACATTTTCAGTGCCATTTTTGGCCTCACGGTCAATGCGAAAATCAGCAAATTACTGCGGTCAATGCGGCCATGCAATAAGTTCATTTTGATAATTGCATTGTGGGAGAGAGCGCACATAAAGTATACGCAATGTATATATAGCAATTATTAATATATGTATATGTATATTAGGGTGGAGGGATGTAAAATTTTTTTTTTTCAAAAATTTTCTTTTCTTTATAATCTACAAATTTTACCCTTAGGTTAAGCAAAAAAAAATTTTTTTTCGATTCACCCTAATGTATATGTGTACATTAGGGATTTCGTTAATACGCAAGTTGCTTTTATGGCCTAAACAGGGTTGCCACGAAGTTTGTAACACCCAGTGAGTGATGTCGGAGACCCTATAAAATATGTGTACACCATACATAAACATATATGGCAAATGATCAGCGTGACAAGCTGAGTCGATTACTTTTTCCCTCAGTTTATCAGACATCGTTTAAAATTTTGCACATGCCCATTTCTCCCAAATTAGCTGCTCATTAACAGAACAGCCGATATCGAACCACTGTAGCATATAGCTGCCATACAAACTGAACAATCAAAGATAAGTTCTTGTATGAAAACTCGTTATTTGTGAAGGGTATTCTGGCAAAACCTGAAACTTTAGGGCTCGTTTCCAAAAAAAAAAAAAGAACGTGTGGCACTCGGGGACTGCCGCGGTAAAGCTATTGCATAGCATTTTTTATCAACGTATGCAATTATAATTATTAATTTTTTTTTTATGCAGTATTATTCAAGTTACACTTTTTTTCTTTTATTGAATAAATTAGAAGTTAATATTGTTTAAAATATTTTTATTAAGTAATAAGTGGAAATTTATTACCATTGATATTCCAATTGAAATACCTAATTTCAATTATATTGTTCAAGTCAAACATGATACTGTTCCAAAAGGTTGGGTAGCTATTTACCAAAATAATAATAATGTTACTAATATTATGAATCCGAATATTGAATAATTTATTTTTTGGTAATTAAATTTTTATTAAATTCTATGTTTTTATTTGCCATAAACAAAATGTATCTTAAATATTATTATTTTTGAATCACCCTGCTCTGGCTCTTCAATTGATTTGTTCCGCTTGAGATATGCGAAAATACGTTTGTAAGTATGCAAACATTTTTTGCATAGTTTGTGATCATATTAGATTTATTTCCGTTGCGGAATTTCTTGATTCGGTCGCCGCGCTCAAAGCGAGAAAAAACTATGCAATAGCTTAAAAAGCTTGGAAAATAACGGGCACCCTAATATATGTATACATACATAGGTGCTTCTATCCTAAAAGCATTTGTTTGGCATTAGCACTTAAAGCCTAGGAACTTTGCTGAGCTTTTCAACACGTTGCTTAATTTTCTACTTCCACTCTCGTTGGGTGGCTTTCAGGCATAGAAAGAAACATACTTTCCAACATACATAAATGCATTTATATAAAATTATATATACACTCCATTTGCATGCTGGCAAATTTCTAGCTGGCATTTGCTTTCTTGCTTGTCTCCGTCGTGACCTTTACACTCTCGCTCTTTCATTTTGACAGTTAATTTGTTTTATTGACATTTTTCTCATAACTTGTCTTGCCTTTACTTCTTGCCTACTTATTATTTACTTTCACAATTCTGAATGCAAAATATATTTTATGGTCTTTGACAGTGTCGAATTGTGCGCTTGAGTTGTGTTGTGCAAATTTGTATGTATGTAACATAAGTATGTATTCCCATTACGATGAGTATTGCGGCAAACCGTTGACCGGCACAGGGGAATGTTAATTATTCAAAAGCAATTATAAGAGTGAGTATGAGCAGACAGCGCTGAGTGAACGAAGAAAGGCATATTTTTAGGTTACTCAAGACAAATACGAGCATTTGTTTGAATATTTGAATTGGCATAGAAATAAAAATTTACATTTCTAATAAAAAGGAAAATTAGAAGATTATAATTTTATGACAAATCAGAAAAGGAAAGAATATGAACTTTATTTGAAAGTTTTATCGATTTTTGTGGGACCAAAATTAAATGTAAAATATGTAATTAAAACAAAAATTTACAAAAAAAACTGTATAATAAAAATAAAAATGTTAAAAAACGTTTAGTATAGAAAAACCAAAATAATAAAAAAAAAGAATTATTAATTTTTCTTCTGAATCGCCTACGCAGCTTTTTCAAATCAAAAATTCGCTTGGAGACTTGTTTTAAAATTTTGCTGTCAACAACTAATCTATAATCTATAACCTAGAATCTATAATCTGTAATATATAATTTATAATTTATAATCCATAATCTATAATCTATAATCTATAATCTATAATTCATAATCTATAATCTATGATCTATAATCTATGATCTATAATCTATAATCTATAATCCATAATCTATAATCTATAATCTATAATTTATAATCTATAATCTATAATCTGTAATCTATAATCTATAACAAGAATTTAGAACCTATAATATAGCATTAGTAATCTATGATCTAGAATATAGGTTTAGAATCTAGAAGCCTAGAATCTAGAAGCCTAGAATCTATAATATGGAAATTAGATCTTAGGATGTATAATGAGAAATTCAAAAGACAATCTATGAGCATGATTCTAAATACTTCTTTTGAAAGCTTCAATTATCTTAGTGGTCCTTGAGTATCTACATTTAAGGTTATATTATCCCTTTAATAATATTTCCCTTTAAAAATCGTATGAGAACAAGCCGATTGATAATTTTAATCAAGCCTTTTCGCTGGCCTCAATTAAATGTTAAGCAACAAATGAACGAATCTTCTAAGACAGAACTGGAGTTGTGAAGGAGTACCTAGTGTCAGGTTCCCAGATATACCTATATCCCAATAAGATTAAGCTACCGGCTCCTTTTAGATAACCTAAGGTAACCTTTGTAGGAAAGAGTTGCGCTTATTGTTTATAGTACATACATACCAACTAATAATAAACAATAAGCGCAACTCTTTCCTACAAACTTTAATTCACTTAATCCATTAAAAAATTTAAACCTATCTCACCCGCTGTTGATTCATTATTTAACTTTTTCCTTACTCTTTTGAGAAAAACAGCTTGAATGCAGCCCACTCACATATCCTAAAACTTCCAGCACCTGTTCCACTCACGCGTCAGCACAAATCATGCAGCTCTTAATTACGCCGCGGCTTACAAGTGTCCACTGGCAAAAGTTTAAATTAATCGTATTTTAATTTGAATTTAATTGGGTTTCATTTCCGCTCCGAATCGACTTTTTACCACTTCATTATGCTGCATTTTGTGTTTATGATGGTATAACATTCTGCCTCCCAACTCTACTCTCATAGACAGCGTGGAACCGTTGTGTTAAAAGGCGCACGTTTGTGGCTTTTAAATTTTATGCTCACCCATTTTGGTTTTTCTCACTTCGTATTGCCAGTGCGTCCACCATTTTATTTATGCGCTTGAAATACGCTATTGTTTTGGACTTCTATTGCATTGAAGGATTATTGTGCGTAATTATAAGCCAATTGAAAGTGCTGTTGTTGGTTCAACTCAAGGGTTTATAAGTATTAGAAGTGGCGCGTAGGTTTCGGCTTAAAATTTTTGCGAACTTGGCTCAAAACAATGATGGTTTATGTGCTTTAATGAATTTTATTCTTGAATCGGAGGCGAAAACCTTTTCATTCATCTTCTATTATTTGTTTTGGATAAGTTGGTTTACTTCCGTATAGTTGTATTTATTTATTTTCACGTAGCAATTTGCGTCCCTTAATATTAATGCTGCGAAAGATATTTTGGGTTATATCTTTTATTGAATCTTACTTGTTCGTAGAGAAAATCAGTATACAAGCTCGGGCTTTCAAAAATCACCACAGCTCTTGATTATAGTCGACTAGTAAAGATAAAACAGATTTTAAATTATTTTGATCTGCCTTTTGGCTCTCTAGAGATATCTTAAACCTTTTATCTGATTTAAAAAAAAAAGTTATAATTCTTTCAAGCAATCTAGAATGCCACTCTAGAATCCTTCCCTTCCATTAAAGTACTTACTGTTTAGTGGTACAACTACTTAGATATCAGAATTAATGCTCGTACAAATATCTCTCAATAGGATAGTAGTTGCTACTGCGGTAGCAGCAAATGTACTGCTTCGAAAGGCAGATGTGTATTCACTCCGATAGCAGAGCCGCAAGGCCTTCAGCACGCTGACAGTGTCAAAGCTAGTAATTAGCAATAGAATCAAGCTATTTCGATATTGGATGTGTTTGAATGAGCCGCTTGCGTTATAGCATTGGATCTACAGACCGCATCACGATAGTCATACCTTCTACGAACCAGGTAAATTGGCTGAAATTGATATTAGTTGCTTTAACAAATTTGTGGCAGGTTCAATTCGCTTTGTCTTCGACGATCTTTATGATCCATACTTAGAATATCAGAAGTTAGTTGTAGTAGTGGGATCAATCGTGAATTCACTAATATCGTCCTGGTTACCTTAATTAACCTAAAGTATACCATATACTTATATACTCGACATATATATGTTACATATCTGAGATTACTACGATCCAAAATACATTGGAATAATATTAATATAAGTATTCTCATCTGGTTTCCAATCTCCAGGTAAACTCACCTACCGGCTCTGTCCATGGATGTTATGTGCCGTCGTTGGTGGTGCATGTAGTGCACCACTAATGTCAATGAAAGCCGTCCGTTTAACACATTATAGCTATGTACTTAATGGGCGCCCTCCACCAAACAAATATACTATCAAATATT